GGTCGGAGCCCCGGGCCGGGCAGCGCCGCTCCCTCCCGCGCTGCGGCTCTCTGGGTCCGGAGCGCGGCGCGGGGACCTGCCCATGGCCCGGGATAACCCAGCGCCGCATCTCCCGTTTTTATCCCCCGCATCGTTTACTGGGAGAAAATCGAGGCCTGGAAGTCGTTGTCAGTCCTGCTGCTGTTGTTTTCCAGCGGAGGTTCTGATTTCAATTAGATGTAGTGTTGAACTTGGCCTCTGAACGAAATGGGATAGAAATCTGAATGTCGGATCGTACGTGGCAGTGAATTCGTGACTCCTCGGTGGGTCGGCGGAATTTTCAGAGTGATTTTCTGTTCTTTAGGAAGCTTTGAAAATGACAAGCCTAAAGAAGTGTTCCTTTGGCAGTAATTGATTTGAGTTAGAATTCAATGCAGGGTCTTTTTTTAAGCTTACTAGATGTGTCGGGTTTGGTTTTGGTTTAGAAAACATGCAGAATTAAATAAGCTTAAGCATTTCTCCCCTTTGTGCTTGATACCTGCTGATACTAATGCCAGATAACCCAGTGTCAAGGAGTGTTTCTTGTTCAAGCAAGCGAGTTTTGCCTGCAGGTGTGGTCAGGGCTGGTCTTGTGAAAGGAAGAGTGAAAACAGATGCTTGTTTGTCGTTAATATGCTATTTTTAAGCCATGGGATGGGCAGTGATAAAGGCAAATGCCCAGTGCGGTCACAGGGAACTTCCCTTTTTAGGTTTGACTTTAACCTATTACATGTGTATTGCAAGGAGTGGAATGAAATGAGGTTTTTTCTCACTTGGCCATTGTTTTTAGTATAGAGATTTATTTTGTGGGACTAAAGATTACAAAACTCTTTGTTGTAGTATGATTATAAAGAAAGTACAAAGAAGATAAAGTTGTTTGCAGTTAAGTTGCAGTCTCCCTGCACTAGTGTTTCATTTTCTGCTTTTCTCCAATGTGTGCAGTTCAAGTGTTGTCCAAAGTTGGTGGGTTTATTTCCATTGACCTTGGTGGGCTCTGGTTGTTTCAGGTCACAGTTTGCAAACAGGTATAGGCCAGTACAAGTTCTCATACATGTGTCTGAAGGGACCTACAGGGAAGTTGGAGAGGAACTCTTTGTTATAAGCTGCAGTGACAGGACAAGGGGCAATGGATACAAATTGAAAGAGGGGCAATTTAGGTTAGATATTAGGAAAAAGTTTTTCACTGTTAGAGTGGTGAGATACTGGCACAGGTTGCCCAGGGAGGTAGTAGATGCCCCAACCCTGGCAGTGTTCACAGCCAGGTTGGATAAAGCCTTAAGCAACCTGTTCTGGTGGGAGGTGTCCCTGCTCAGGGCAGGGGGGGCTGAGACTAGATGATCTATAAGGTCCATTCCAACCACTAAAATTATGTGATTCTATGATTCTATGTGTTTTCTCTAAGCAGGTTTTTGTTTTAGGGCTTAGTGATTCTTCTTACTAGGCTTTACGTTCTGAGACGCAAATAATAGAAAATAGTTCAGGAAGATGTTAGAACTGGAATTTGGCTTCTCAGTGACTATTCCGTTTCTTCCAAAGGATGCCATAATAGCAATTAAGACTATGTACACATGACAAATAGTTTTTTCCATCAGTATGATTTCCTGCTCAAAATAAGTGGTGTCCCTACATGTTCATGTTGTTACTTATTGCGTCTTATATTAGCACTCGCTAGATTACTTTGAAGTCTTGCATTTGGAAATGACAATCAACCTGCTGATTTAAATCAAATTCAGTCTCGCTGGAAGGATATTTCTTGGTCTTGCTTTTGTGTTTTATATTTGATTTTGTAATTTGGGTTTGGAGTATGGGGTGTTAAGTATTGAGCACGGAGATTTTCAGTGTCTGACCGAACAGTAGGCAAACACATGCAGTTGTGTTTGTTTACATTGCTGCAATCCATCATGAAAAGTAATTATTTTAATATTACACACATTTTCTGTGTAGTGTGTTTGTGTATGATGCTTATCTGCTTTCCAACTGTTTCAGAGTGGTGATGGAACTGAGCTGACAGCCAAGCCAAAGAGAAGCTTCTATGCAGCAAGAGATTTATACAAGTACCGACACCAGTATCCAGTAAGAATATTTTGTGGTTTAAAATTGCCTTTTTAACACAAGACACCACATAACCCAAATGTTCCTAAACCTTTGTGGTGCCTAATAAATGTGAGCAGTGAGAGTCAAAAAGTTGATACAGAGGCCAAACATAGGCTGAGTGGGAGAGGAGCAAAACTGCACAATGTGTCTCTTCATCCCAGCTTGCATGAAGCAGTGGTAGGAGACCAGGAAAAGGCTTTCGTCTTCAGTATCAAAGAGGGTGGATTATAGAGTTTGTACAACTTATTAGTTGTCTCAGCTTCTTTGATACTGAAGTCAAGGCACTGCTGTGCCTGCTGCTGTAACCTCTACCTCGGTAGGAGAAGGAACCAGCCAGGAAGAACTTGCAGATCCTTAAACTGAGTCTTTAAGTGCATGAGTAAAACTCTGTGGTTCCTAAAACTCTGATTTTTATGGGGTTTTTTGTACTTAAATTATTCAAAGAGCACATTGCTTTGTGGATACTCTTTATAGGTTTTTTGTAGCCTGATAATGTCCTGTTTCCTTTCTTTCAGCAGAACTTTAAAGATCTTCGATATCAAAATGACTTGTGCAATCTCCGGTTTTACAAAAATAAAATCCCATTTAAACCCGATGGTGAGTAATCTGTGGCAACAGTGGTGATAACAAAAGAATGCTCACTAATGATAACAGCAAATTGAAACTGTAGTGATAATTGTGGCACTGATAAATTAAAGGCTTATAGTAATGTACTGTACGACATGAATCTCCTGTGTTGGAGTAGCACATTGCTAACACAGGAGGTTATGCTTAAAACAAAGTTAGCTTTTACTCTAGGGAGGTGATGCTTTTCTTATGCATTTTCAGCATGTAGTACAGGGTGTTGTTTGTACCACTACTGTACAATAGTAGCACTACCTTTTATTAAACCAAGATAAAGTTGTTCCACTGTATTGCACAAACTTGCTGCTTGGATAGGAGTGGCAGGAATCAAAGTGTTATCCCTAGCTCTGTGTAAGGGGAAAAGAATGTGTTTTAACTACCTTGTGTGAGATCATTATAAAAACAATAAAAAAGTCATTTCTCAGTGTCCCCAGTGGCTCTGGTAGTGGAGCAGGAGCCCCACAGGCAGTGTTCTGCACAAACACAGGACAAGCTAAAAGATGCCAAACCCTGCTCCAGAGAGTTTGCAGTCAACATATGTGAGACAAGAAGATAGCAGACAGATGGGGAAGCAGGACAAGGCAATAAAACAGTCTTGGTGAGCATGATAGTCTTGGCACATGAGAGCTTAGCCATTAGCAAAAAAGACAAATTGAAGGCCAAAAATAAGCTTTTCAGAGTTTTAAAAGAGTGATGAGGAGGTTACTTTGAAGATGTTTGCAGAAAGATCCTTTCAGCATGAGTATGGGTTGGTATGAAATAGCAAAGTGCATGTTGGAGTACAGAAAGAGTGAGATGTGTAGGCTGCCTGTGAGGCAGGATCCTGTCAGAAGCAGGATCGGTCTCATAGCAACAAATGGGTTCTGATAAGATAGTAAGGGACAGGTCACAAAGGCTTTGTAAGTGAAAGTGTATAGTTTTTGTTTGATGTTACACAATGGAAGAATGCAAAGCAGAAAAAAGAGGCCGTATGAAAAAATGCAGTCTAGAAACAGGATCTTACCAGCAGTGTTCAGGATAGATGTAAGCATGACAAGAGAGCACTTTTCAAGGTCAGGAAGAAGGATGTTGAGATGCAAAATGTCTGAGTTCTGATAGGAAGCTGGATGGAAAGGAATGTCACACAAAAGGATGTAAAGATGTACATACAGGAAGGTCGGAGATGAGAGCTGTTTATAGACTAAGATAGTGATAATATCCTCAGCAAGTGAGAAAACAAGTCGGACTGTGAAAGAAAGATAAGACTTTTGCTTTAACCAACTTGAGCTTTATCTAGATACCCACAGGCAGATGCTGTGTTTTTTAGCTTGACTGGAAGAAGAGATAGATCTGTGAATTGCCAGTAACAGGAGTAGCAAATTCAGGAGACATTACACAGAGAACAGAAGCAGAAAGAAGGATAAGGGCACTGAGGTCTGTGTGAACTTGAGGACCGTGTGAACTTGAGGACCATTTGGACCTGAAACTAAAAGCCAGAAAAGACTGAGGAGGAAGAGTTCTTTAAAGCCACAAGAAGAGTCATGAAAGAGTCATGAGAGCTAGAGGAGGCCTTCCTTCCTAAAAGTTGTACAGAATAAAGTTTCTCTTAATATTTTAGGAGAAAGCTACAGTTAGTAGTGTCAAAGGTGGCTGATAAGCCATGGAGGCTGAAGTGCTGGTGGCTGTGAGCTCTGGTTATGCAGAAGTTTTTATTGAGCATATGAAAGAGTAGACACCACCTTGACCTAAGTCTGTGGATCTGTGAGAGCATTCAGAGGGAGACTTAGCTACCATGTTAGGGACTGAAACACTGGGGAGTGTTGTTAAAAAACCCACATTTCTGGTGCAATAATAGATCTGGAGTTTAATACCATGCCCTACAGATTTAACTTGTAGTTGTGACTCAGAGCTGGCCTTTTTTTTCCAGTAGTTGAAATATAGATTGGATACGATGTGGTGATGGTGGGAAGTCCTCTTTCCAAAGTCCTTTTCCAGCCTTGCCTCCATGGAAAACCCCATGTTCTTAGCAGCCTCTTTGACTTGCTGCTTTCTCAATTTCTTGGAAAAAGGTATTAAATGAGTCCTCCTTTGCCATTGAGACCCAAGTGGAAATTTTCACTGGCAGGGAGAGACATCTCAAATGTCTATTAGGAGACTATCTATATGGGGCTTTTGGCTTTTCAGGCCATTCCTGTGCTATTTGACTTTTGTAGAGGTTATGTGGCAGTGCTAAAACTGTTGTTGGTTTCAGAATAGAAACAGACCAGCACAGTGTTCATTCATGGAAAGATACTGTACAGGTTTGGGAGCAAGGAGCATCCTTTTATGTACTTTGTATATCTGTGCAGTAGCTGGAAAAGTGCCCTGGGCTATGACTTTCATAAGGAGGCTCAGTGTGACACTTGGCCACCACTAACTGAGGAAGGCTTCCCAATCATAATGTTATTTGTAGTTGAAGACATTCCTGATATGGGAGCTGAGACTTTGTCCTATGAATATTGGATGGATGGATGGATGGACATACAGATGCAGAGCTTTGTCAAATAAAAGCAATGATAAATGATTCACAATGCAGTGTTTTATAGAAGTGGTTTGCTAATTATAAGTCAGTGGGATAGAGGGATCTAGGACATGAGAACTTCTGGGGAAATATATTTTACAGAGATTATTTCCACATACCTCTGCTTGTTAGTAACTCAGTCAGTTGGGTTTGTTTATATTGACATTTTATAAATATCTTATTTTTAATTAAGTTTTAGTAACTAATTTTAAGTTAAAATGAATGTATTTATGGCTGTAATGAACCTTATTTCACATAGTAAGTGAAAGAAAATTAAATATGCTATCATTATGTTAGCATGGCATGTACTTTATGTTGCCAAGTTCTGGTTTTGGTGGCTACCTAACAGTTTTCAAATTGTTTTCGTGCAGGGGTTTATATTGAAGAAGTCCTAAATAAATGGAAAGGAGACTATGAAAAACTGGAACATAACCACACTTACATCCAGTGGTTGGTCACTTATTACCTATTTCTGTTTCAAAGCATTAATTTGATTAAGTGTTCATATACTGAGCTGTAATGTGCTGCTTCTTTTAACAGGCTTTTCCCACTGAGGGAACAAGGTCTGAACTTCTATGCTAAAGAATTAACTACATATGAAATTGAGGTAATACAAATTGAGCTGAATACAAACCATCTCATTAATTTTGATACATAACTACTTTTTGTTATGTAGAGTTGTCTTACACAATGCAGAAGTACTTGCTTTAGTGCCACTTAGAATTTTGGACGTATTCTTTGTCTATTAGGAATTCAAGAAAACAAAAGAAGCAATTAGAAGATTCCTTTTGGCTTACAAAATGATGTTGGAGTTTTTTGGAATAAAACTAATTGATAAAACTGGAAACGTAGCACGAGCTGCTAACTGGCAAGAAAGATTTCAACATTTGAATGAGTAAGTAATGACATGCACTCCACTTGCTAGAATTGCCATAGAATCTCTTCAGCCTTTTGTTTTCTAGAGAAAGCAAAGATATTTTTTCCAAAGTGTGTCAGAAAAAAAGAGAAAAATAAATAGTTGATGCCTGATTGGTGTCTGTATATGCATGTTCTTCTTTCCTCTCTTTTTTTTTTGATTGTGCTTCTCACCCATTACCAGTTTTACTGACGTCACTGAATTCCTTGAAAATACAACTTTAGATGGTGCTGAAGAAGATCCCAGCTCCAAATCAATTTGTTTGACATGTTACTGAATGCATTTTCACCCAGTCCCAAAGCATTGCTTCTCAGTTGGAGAAATATGTGTGGCTTATCTTAGAAAAATCAAATTCTCCACACCTGTGTGAAAGCTAAATAGCAAGATTTCCCACCTTCCTCAAAATATTAAATACTGTGTATTTAATGCTTTTAAATGGCAGTGCTTATCTGGAGAGGTTTATGCATGCATTCAGTCAAACTTTAGCCCAATATTCAGCAAATTATACCTGTTGCTTTTCATTGTCAATGTATAGAGCCTAAGTTTGCACTGAATTTTATGCCATGCAGATTAATTTTATCAAAATCTCTTTTCAAATCTTGTGCTCACTTTCCTAATATTCCTGACCTTAGAGCTGCAGATTGTTTTCTTGCAGCATACTGTTCTCCTGTCATATGAAAGCTTGTAGGTAAAGTTGCTGATGGATGACTCTGGGTGAATAATGGGAATCATTTATTAATAACTTTACTTAAACATTATATGAGCCAATATGGGTGTGGGCTCAGACTCAGGGCATAGATCAAACAGGGTTCCAGGAAGCCCAGATGTTACTCACTGCATGTTTTTGTTGCTATATTCTTACCAGTGAGTAGCTACAGTTTTAAGTCAGGATTTGGGACTCTTTTTACCTAATTTTAGCCATCTAAAATTTAAACTTAGAAGTTTTGCTGTCTACTAAGGTGTACTTCATG